AAAAAGAAAAAAAAAAAACAGAGAAGAGTCAGAAATGAACAGAAACAAGGCTATAAAGAACTTATCAATCATAAATCTTTAATAAGACAGAAAATATAAATCACTGACGCGCGCTGCGAAGCCTAGAAGAACAACGAATATTCAGCTGTATATGCTCAAAAAAGACCCAAAAGTCTCACAAAAAAAAGGGAAAAAAACTGCAATAGAAAGAACTCGAGAGCGTAAATCGAATTAAAATTTCCAGAATAAGTGCATAGATTGGATTTCTGCACGAAAATCTTTACCTTGTTTTCTGTCTGAGCTCCAAACTCTTATATTCTTCTCCAAGGAAATAAAATCGATGTCTCTAGTTCAATGTCTGCTTTTTCTCTTTCCGAAATTTTGCTCAGCAAGAAGAAAAATATCTCACGATCTGTGTTTAATATCCAGAGAGGCTATTGATGTTATTGGGATGAAGAGGTTTCATTTCATTTCATTTATTTAAAGGTGGTGATAATAAAAGATAGCAAAGCCGAATTTACAGATCCACCCCTCTTATAACTTTTCATCGAGTGCAAGTGGTACTTGTCTGTTATGTACGGTGAGATTGTGACTTGACTTGTATGCCCCTTGATGAGTGCAAGTATTTTAGTCCTAATCCTACTTTGCTGCAATTAACCATCCAACTTTGGTTTATTCATGTTTTAGCTGAATTTCCATATTTTATACTAGATCTTGTTCTTTCAGGTTGCGACATAATTGAACTTGAGCAAAATTTATTAGATTTTGTGTTCATATCACCAAATTCTTAAATCTTAGTCCGGGTTTTTAATTTATGTGGTGTTTGAATCTTTTCAATTCTAAATATTCTTCGAATTATATAAGAAATCTTTAAAAAACATTATGAAAGAAAATAATAATAGTGCAAAAAACAAAGAAAATAATTAAAAGTATGAAAAGAAATTAATTATCATTAGGAAAAAAAATGCTACATAATAATACGTGATTTGTTGAAATTGGTAGATTTGTATGAGATGAGATTAGGAAACGTTATAAAGAAAAAACTTCTTTGTAACAACAAATTTTATGAAAAAAATAAAACTTTTGTACAACTTGAATATATATTGATCAAACGATATTGCAGGTACAATCTCTATATGTATCCTCTGATTCTTCTCTTCATGGATTTGGATTTGGATCTTTGAAGATGGATTTGACGGTTGGATCTTCTTCAGGCTTGAGCTTAAATTTGTCTAACGTTAATTGGACGGTCGAATGACTTGATCTCGAATTAAACGTTAGGACTTGATTTGATTGAAGACAACTTCTTGCAGGACTTGCTTCTTCGATCTTTCTAGAAGACGGATTTAGACTTGAATAACGTTGACTCGAGGGCTTGAGAGCTTTTTCTCGGATCAAACGCTATGTTGCTTGAACTTCTCGACGAACTCAGCTTGAATGTTGTGGATCTTCAAGAACACCTTTGAATCTTCAAGAGAATTGTTGAGAGCTCTTTGAATTGAGACTTTGATTTATAAGGTGTTGAATTTTTTTTGAGGTGTGATTTGTGGCATTGAGGAGAGCCCTATTTAGGTGTAGGAGAGAGAGTCTTGGAAAAGAAGACATCAATTTGATTGGTCCTTCATGATTTAATATAATCTCTTTACTTATCCTAAGATTTGATATAATCTCTTTCCTTATCCTAAGATTTGACTTGGTTGGCAAGAAATATTTATTTTATTAATTATATATCTTATTTATCTTAGTATTATGTCCATAAATAAATAAAGACATTAATTAATAAAATATTAAAATTTCGATGTCTGCATTCTTCTTAATACTTGTTTCTTAGTTAAAATCCTTTTTATTGGGAATATGAATGATGAAAATTCCTCAAAATAAAATAAATAAACTTTTCATTGTAATCCATCTTAGCTCAGAGCCTCCGACGGCTAGTCGAGTTATGGACGAGGTTTGGCCAACTTCTTGTTAACGAAATCGTGACAATAAAATAAAATAAAATAAATGAACCCGCAAACACAAATCATTTGGAGAAATCGAGTATGGTTGCATGGGTTCAAGGAGCATGAAGCTTGTAGAGATCGAATCAGAAATATTTGTTAAGGGATCAAAATGAAAAATTGGAAAATCTATTTGTGGAAAGTTGCATGATTTTTATTAACCTTCTTTTCATGTCCCAACGTTACAATTTACACTAAAATTTCCAAAATGATCCCTTAACAGAGTGTATAAAAAGTAGTTCATTGTACTTCAATTAATCAATAATCTCCGAAGTTCAGAAATGATTAATTTGAGGACAATTTTGGTTGGAAATCCAAATATTAACCAAAAATTAATCGGGCACATGCGCATAACGTGCTTATTTATATATGGATGAAATTTTCTTATTAAAGTGTTCGGTTTCGACTGAAAATCCAAAGTTAGTCGAATAATTAACAGACATGTGCACATGAAGTGTCAACTTATGGACAATTTTTTTTTCCCCCCAAAATTTTTCAATCCATTTTTGAGTAAAATCCGAATTTCGACTACAAATCTAGTTGAACATGTACGCACGACGTGTTAATTTCCAACGAAAGATTTGAACTTCCGGTGACAATTACCTTCAAATTGTATCAATTTTAAAAAGTTTGAGGCTTCTATTGAGGATAACTTTTCAAAGCATTCCTCTACACTTATGCATGCATATACTCTCGCCCGAAAATATATATTAAATGCTCTTAATTTCATTTCAGAGCGCATATATATATAAATACATGTTTTTGTTTTTATTTATATAAGTATTATAACTATATATGGGTAAAGTTATTCACAAAAGTTGAGAAAGTGAAATACTTTTTCTTTTGGCTTTTTGTTTGATTCATTCATGGCCATGGTTAACTCTGAGTTGGCTCCCTCATTAAATATAATGAAAGGCTTACACGATTTGCTCCATATTGCGAAATGCCAATGTTTAATTTATCAGCCACAAGCTATCGATGTTAAAGGTAGTGCCTTACTAGATGTCGACTTCATAATATCACGAGTGGTTTTTTGTATTTGTTGAGTCATATATGTACAATTTTTTTTTTTTTTATTTAATTGATTAATTAGATTAAGATATGTGCATGGTCTAAATGGTTCCAATTTCCCATTAAGAATTACCAACAAAAAAAATATAGGGCCACCACATATATTATATATACTAGGAATAACAGGCAATTATTTGATATTTAAGAGTTTTGGTATTTATTATTACAATAAAAAAATTCCTTCAACAGTTTTATCTAAACTAGTGAGTATCTCGTGCGATGCACGGCGAGTTATTTTTTAAAGCCTTTGTTTAAAATTTTATACAATATATTAGTTTGCTAACCGTTTATATTAATAAATAATATTTTAACATCTATATTTATTGTTTGATATAGAAAAAAACTATTTAAGGCATTTTGGAAAAAAATTAAAATTCCAATAAGAACATATTAACGGACCGCACAGTTATTTCTCTTTTGTTAGTAATTAGTTTTTGACCATGTGTATTTGCACAGATGTAAATAGAATTAAATAATAAGTTATTTGTATGCATATAATATTAATTTGTAAGTTAAATAATAGTATTATATTTCAACATATAGTATTATAAGTTATAATTATACATATAATATTAAAATTATAAATAAGATATTAGTATTATATTTTAAAATTTGATCATTGGTTAAAATAAATAGTACATATGGTATGATTGCATACAAATCACTATATTGATTGCATATAATGTAATAAATATATAATTTTTATAATTTTGAGTGATCATGGCCAATTAATTAGCTGAAAAATATTACATTTTTTATTGCAATTGCTTATGTAATTTTAAGAAATTGTACTATGACATAAGAAAAAATAATTTATTTAAAAAACAATGGCTTAATCATATAAAAAAAATGTAATAATGATTTTAGTGTAAATATAATTTTATGTAACTTTCATATATCATTAGTGTAAAATATAATTACTAATTTTAATATTAACTATTATATGATTCAGTAAAAACTATTATATGATTCAACAAATAATATAATTATTACTCAATTAACATAAAATATAATATTTTTTGTTATAATTAATCCAAAAAAGGGTAATGAAATATTTTATTATTAATGAGGTAGGGTGTATTAATGCCACATAAGTAAAATTTATTAAGTTCCATTTACTAGGTTTTATTTAATGATTTGCCACATAAAATTTATTATGTTTTATTTATTAGGTAAAATTTATTGCTAAGCTAGCAATTATATATATACTAGTATTTGACATGTGCAAATGCACGGATATAAATAAAATATTGTGAGTTATTTGTATGCATATAATGATAAAAGATTTTTCTTGCACTTTCTTGCAAGCCAAATTTACAATTAAAAGAGCTGGAATATTTATTTTTTGAAATTGTGTTTATTATATTGGATGTAATGTATATTTGGGTATGTAATTTTTGTGTGAATTATTTATTATTTATTTAGGAATTTAAAATATATTTTTATTTTTCAAAAGAAGTTAATTTAAATGTAACCACAGCAATGACATCTAATCATGTTAAATAGTCAACACATTATATAGTCAGCTGTAAGTAAATCAAAAGTTAAAAATAATTTTTGTAATTTTGAAGTGATTAATGTGTTGATTCTCTAATAATTAAATGAGAGGTTAAATAAATAAAAAGCAACGGTTTTTAGAGGAAAAAAGTTATATTGCCACATAGGTATAATTTAATAGGTTTTATTAAATTCTCATGAGCCAGCAATTATATATATATATATATATATATAAATATGTGTGTGTGTCCTTTACTTAGTGGAAAGCTTTGTGATTTCCATCATGTTTTCCTTTTTTTTCCAATTTTATTTTATTAATAATATTAAATTTATTTATTTATTTATTTATTTATTATTATTATTATTATTATTATTATTATTATTATTATTATTATTATGCCTTATACTAAGAAATTGTACCTCATTTAAAGGTTAGATTATGACAAACTTCAAAGTTCAAACTAAAAAATTACTGGGCAAAAAGGTCAATCCATACATGAGAAAGTAATTGAGCCTTCTTATCCATCGCACGAAGTAGCAGGGGCATTTTGGTCATTCACTCAGCCGACTCGGTTGACGCTAAATAATATAGAAAAAGCATATTCGCATATACAGAAAGCATAATTCGATCCCTCCCCTCCGTATATTCCTTTGCATGATTCCCTCCCTCAGGTGGGCCCCATGAATCCTACGTGGATGATTGAACGCAAACAATTAGATGACGTGGTTTTTCTCTTGGACGAGGTTTTTTTAGATTTCTATTGGTAGACACGTGGGGTCATATAATCTTGGCTAAATCGTGAGTGCTTGTCCGCATCATAATTCTAATTGGCGGATTGATTAAATAGATATGCACGTTTTCTTTTTCTCGAAACGATATAAAGTTTATAAAAATGAAAACCACGTAATTATTAATAACAATACTACAAAATAAAACAATATTTGGACACGAATCGCATCATTATGTATATATATACAACACGTTTTATACATTTGTCGAAGTACTTTAATAGCAATTAATAACAATACTACAAAATAAAACAATCACAAATTGGATATGTATATCAGTCAAGTCCTACTGTTCTATTCCTGCTGCATAGATTATTTGTACTTAAAAACTCATGTGATATGTAAAAGCAAAATAATAATTTATAATTTAAAATATATGAGTTGATAATTATTAGTATTAATTAATATTGAGGAGTCATGATAAATTTTTATTTAAAAACTATATTGATAGGCTTGAAGAGAGAAATCTAAAATGAGTGAATACCATAGTTTCGAAATTTTGGTGACCAAACTCGAATTTTTTAAGAAAAAATCTAATAATATGAAAATCTTTAGTAACCAATCGTGCCCTTATCGAAATGTTTATAATAGATAAAAGGATATCAAAATATGTGTAATTAAACATTTTTAATTATCACATATATGTGCGGTTGGATTTAATTTTTAGAACTTTTTTTGTCTTTAAGATATAGTACGTGGTACTGTTTTTTATAGCATTATTGGAAGTTCATTTTTTTAGGATAATTATTCGATAGAGTTTTGAACTGAATGTGACTCCCCTCTCTTATGTTTATGAGGCCAAGTATAATTATTATATCAAGTTACCTTATGAGATACACAATTTTCAATTTTGTTTTAATATAAAAATCTCAGAAAAAAATATGTAACCTAACTCTAACAGTGGTCCCATATATGAACCGACTTTACGGCTTAAATTGAAGGTCCAAAACTGGATAATAAGGTACAAAAGTTCAAATTCATTTTTGTCAAGCCATTGGTTTCACAAGTTCTCATCTATTAATTTATTAATAATTATTCTCTCCCTACCATTGCTAATTTACGAGACCATTTCAAGAACCCTCTAACGATTTGTTCATATATATAGAAAGCCAAAATCTCAGTGCTAGATAGTAACATTTAGGAAAAATGTTGCACCAAAAGGTCCAAAACTAATTTTATTGCAGCACGTAAATCTAACCACCACATAAAGTATCCCGCAAATAAAGTCTTGAAATTAGGATTGGAAAGTAACGGATTAAAAAGGATATCAAACAATCATCCATTCGGATAAGGAAATTGTTACTCACATTCATCATTTACATCANGGCTATTTAATTGGATTCGTCTCATTGCACAGCCCGTTATCCATTTTCATTTATTATTTTTTTTTTGTTGATTTCGTGTCCAATAATTAATTTGGGCTCATTTCCTAGACAAAGAAAAAATTCTTACACAGTTGAGTGCGAACATGTTCGACTCTATTTGTTGATCGACAAGTTCGATTAGCTATTGAGTTTGACTTGTTTAAATGATTGAGTTTTCTCAATTCAAACCGAGATATGCTATCAGATAATTTGATTCTAGTCATGATCACCAAAACCGATTATTTGTCGAAATCGCCGATCTCGGGCCGAGAGTTGGAGGACCCTGAACCGACGTGAACATATGCACGGACCGGTTCATTGAACTGTCGGTTTTTGGTCGTTCGATTCATTAAAAAAAAATAATTAAAAAATGATATATTTTTTGTAAAAAAAAAAAGTCGAACCTCAAGTTTCGGTTCCACTTTGTAATCGAAATTGCCGGTTCAAAATGTATAAACTATAAAGTATTGTACATGAAGCGAAGTGGTCAAAACTACGGGCCGGTTCAAGACCCATGGTTAACGGGTCGGTTTGTGTCGATTTGGCCCGAACCTACAAGCTGGGTCGGCCCAGACCATGTGTACTCGGTTCCAATAATAGCTACAATAATATGCAGCCTCGGGTCAAAAAAAATTATGGCTATGCCTCTCAACAACACGAACCGGCTGCTACTTTGGTTTCCTCTCTTCCGGACCGAAGCTCCCAAACCAACCGGCCATGGTGAACTCCCCAGACAACCGCTGGTGATGGAAAGACGACCTCGACTCAGATCGGAAAAACGTGTGCTGCTCGGCGAAGGCCTCGAACGGCTGCTTGCGGGTTCGCGGTAATGGAGAGAAGGCTGGGGCGAAATAATTTTTCTTGCGGATTCCTCCCTTTTTTGTTTTTTGGCTGATCGCGATGGATTCTTGGGTGCTATTCGGAGGTTCTAAAGGCTGACGATATCGACTAAAACTCTGAGGGAAAAATATGGCGATTGAGGGGTGATTTTGTTGGAAATAGATAAGGAAGAAGAGTTTTGTTTTCCCTTGGCTTCTTGGCTCTTACTTACGTGAACAAGAAAAAGGTCAAAAAGGCTTATGAAAACTGATGAACTTAATGAAATAATACCAATCATAAATTTGCACCAACAAAACCGAAACTCGGAGACAGAAAAGGGGCCAATCTATATCTATATATAATTACCGACTAATAGCATTTATTAAAACTTACTCCCTCCATTTTGAAATATAAGGCGCGCTCAAAAATCAAGACAAATTTTTGCATTTTTTTCCAAATATACCCTCATTGTGTTGAAATTAAGGAAGTGTGGAGTGGTTGTGATCACTGTTCTAAAAATCGGCCTAGGCGGTGCCGCCTCCGATTTGTACAAATCGGCAGAAAAAATCGGCCAGGCGGCTAGGCGGCGCCTAGGCGGGCCTAGGCGGCCCTAGGCGCTCCTAGGCAGCCTTGGCGGGCTCGACGGCCAGGCGGTTAGGCGGGCGTAGGCGGACTTAGGTGCTCCTAGGCGGGCTCGGCGGCAATTTTTCAATTTTTTTTAATTTTTTTTTATTTTTTTAAATACTAATTACATTATTTTGTTCTCATGTTTTCTTTAATATATATTAATATTATTATTTGGACTTTGGTGTGTAAATTTATTATATGTTGAGATAATTTTATTTTGTAGGTAGTTAAAATAAATAAAAAATAAGGTATTTACTATTGATTTCTGGGCCCTGACTAGGCGCCGCCTAGGCCCCGACTAGGCGCTCTAGGCGCTAGGCACTGGTCGAGCGCCTAGCGACTTTTAGAACACTGGTTGTGATTAGAGTAAATAAGGTTAATTTAGTCAATTTATTCATTAATTAATGTCTCTTTAATATTTGTGCAATAACCTTAAATGCCTTATATTTCAAAATGGAGGGAGTATTTATTTTCCCGTCTTTCACTAAGCGAGACGTTTTCGGTCAAACTTCAGGACCTCAGGTGTAGTCGAGCGGAGTAATTTAAACGAACTATTTTTTTATAGAAAATTATTTGGTACATCTACAAATTGTTTTATTTGCACATTTACAATTTTCTTTTTTGTTTTTGTTATTTGTTTTTAAATAGGACTATTTTTTGGTTTAGAATTCGTTTTTAAATGGTATATTTATGATTTTTATTTTGAGTGATTATATTTTTATAAAATAAAAAAATTAAAATTGTATTAATTAAGTAAAGTGACTTTTTTTTTTTGGTTTTATAACATTGATAGGAAAATAAAAATGGATAATCTATTGGTGCATGACTCCGGAAAAATTCATCCGATGGCTCTCAAAGACTTTTATTTTATCCCTATTCGAGGTGATTTTTATTAACACAATTTTTACTCTAACAAACCCTATGACGATGATACACATTAGAGGTCACGGAAGAAAACTAAATGTTAATTCACTAACAATGGACATAATCATCAACTATTGTCTTGTTTAATTAAAAATGAATATCACTAACCATACTAGCTAATTCAAAGCTCACACGTTTAGTTTAGTTGAAATATTCTGCGTTATCATTTCCATAATCGAGCAAACAATGTTTGAAAATAAAAATATCGTTGGATGTGGTTATATAAATATAAATTCTTATGAGAGTCAACCTAACCGTTAAGGGGGCGATTGTATACAAATTGTACAGTAAAAAAAACAATCAAAACTTAAATTTAATTCAACTTTAATCCAATTTCACTATCTCCAATATTATCAATATAATTAAATAATATCTTCCAATCATTCTTACACATCACATCAACTTTAATTAACTATTCATCTACTCACATAATTTTAACTAACTATCACTTTCAATCATTTTCTCCTACTTTTACATCAAATCAACTTTAATTATTTCATTTCAAATATTATTTTAAATATATCCACTAACAACTAACATACCATCTTTTTTTAAATTTAACTATGGTTAAAAAAAATTAGTTTTTTACTAATTGAATTCATATCCAATCATCCCCTAAATGATCGATCCAGCATAATTCTTTTCTTAACAAATTATACGGAATCCGCGAAATGTCATACTTTTTTTATATTGTTTTATCAATTATGACATTTCATGTTTAACTTATATATATTCTTTAAAAAATTAAGATATCCAATTGTTATGCCTACTCATTAACAAGTTTGACGTAATAATATAAATGTATATGTGTTTCTTACTTACTATAAATTACACAAATAATGGTAATATAATGAGAAGTTATTAAATGATGTCTTCCCAATCAAATAATGTGTGCTTAACATATGTTTTTGTGTATCTCTATTTATACTCATGAGTCATGACTATATTAAGTTGTTAAAGGTTTTTTCCTTCCAAAATCGTATTTTAATTAATGTTTCATTTATTTCAATAATTATTTCATTAGATGACGTTATGCAATAGAATATAAATTAAAACACTATTTTCCATAAAAAAAACTTATCCATAACTGAGTTCTTTAAACCTTATAATAATATGTAGTTAGTGTCCATAATTAAGTCCTTTAAGACTTAAATTAATATCTAATTAGTGTTTGAAACAACGTAATTAGGTCAAAAACTAATGTTCAATGACCGAAACAATAAGTTAAAAGAAAACTAAATTACGAATGCATTTTTTATTTATTTTTTACTCAATGGAAAAAAATTCAGGGGACTCCACATGTGTGAAATTCCCATTTTTCGTCCATGTTTTTTTGACGATTGTCATGCGGATTTCGATTTTTTGTGCCTTACTTTTCACGCATAACCGCATACGTTACCGCAGGCAATAGTACAGTACACTTTGACTCAAAAATAAACTGATAAAAATCAATATTCCACGAGAGAAATTCCTCAATATGCTAATACCACACAAACATTTATGAATTTGACATTTAGTTGACTCTAAAAGCAAGTGAATCAGCTAATTAGTACAATATTTTACACCGCAATATTTTAGGAAAATAATTAACTCATAAGAGGCATGTTTAGTTGGATATTACAGTAATAATTGTATACTTATTACTGCCTATAATAAAATTAGGAGAGAATTAATAAACTAAAAACAAATATTAAACAACAACAATCAGAAACAAATCAAGGTAACCAACAGAACAGAATATCCTACTCATCGTGCCAAATTCTTCACTGCCAAATTCTTTAAAATAACTTTCACATCAGAAAAAAAAAAAAGAAATACCGTCCTTCATATCACTCAACAGGCACGCGCCAGCCATCATTGGCTTCCTCCTCGACCTGGTGGATCCTGGGAATGAAGATCTTGAGAAGCCCATCCTTCATCTCCGCAGTGATCTCCCTCAGCTTGCACACGGTCGCCGGCACATTTCCGATGCGGTAGCCCAGGGAGATCTCTTCTTCGTCCTCGAAATCTTTCTTCTTGCCCACGATATGCAGCTCGTCGTTCTCGGCCCACACCCTTGCGTTCTCTTTCTTCACTCCCGGCATGTACACCGCCAGGTGCATGCCCTCCGCTGTAGCCCTCACCTTGTACCCGCGGCCGTGGGAGTCAGCAGAAGGGGACCCCGCCGCTTAGCCAGGGATTTCGTACGCCGTACCTACGCACAGACGCAAGGTTCAGTAAAACACAGTCAAAAAACACCGGAAAACACACACCGACGGGAAAAAAACAGATCCAAAACAGAACAGAAAACTAAAATGGGAAAGGAAAAAGGAAAAAACCCAAAGGAGCTCGTACAGTCGTACTCAAGCTACAGCTACAAATTGCAAAAAAACACAAACAGATCTGGACTCCTAAAAGTCGAATCTCGAGTTTATCCAAACACACGCACAAAGAAAAAAAAAAGAACTCAAAGATAGATGCAGAAAAAGGAAAATGGATACAGAGAAGAAAGAATCAAACCGTAAGGGTTGTAGGCGCCGGTATAACGCGGGCCGAACATGCGTCCGTCTTCATCGCCGCCGAGATCAGGTGTAGCGTAAGGGATACGGTCCATTGCTGGTGGTGAATGGTGTGGTGTGGCGTGATTGAAGAAGACGATGCTGGGTTGCTGCCTGCTGCCTTTTTTTTATACTGAGGATGAGGTCAGGGGTAAAATGGGAAATCAATCAAATCATGTACGCAAAGGAATTCAAGAATCTTCTCATGGAAAGGCTGATGACTATTGGGCCGGTTTACGGGCTTCTGTATTTATTTGCTGGATTTTGTTTATGGTATAGAAACGGAGCTCTCCGACCCAAAACGCCAAATATTTATATTTATTTTCTCCCCTTCTCATTATCCACAAACCGACGCCATGCACTATTCGCATTCTTTAAATTTTTGATAACTTCTAATATACTATTTGAAAACTATATAAAATGCGGAAAATAACATCCACATGTTATAAAAACGAAAAGATAAAGAACACAATATAGAAACTGAATATAACTTATACTCAATTTTTCTTCTTTCTTCTGAATGCGTATTCCTTCACTTCATTTGGTGTGCCTTTTATAGACAAATTCTACCGACAATTCTACACAAATTATTAACATCTCATACTCCTTACTAATCACATTACTATTCATGAATAGTGGTACATTCCACTTCTTTATAATTCTCCCCCTTGGAATTACCACTATTAAATGTGTATTTATGCTGCCACGTTAAAAACCTTATCAAGAAAAACCATATGAGAAAAAAACCGAAATAATGAAAAAAGAGTACAGCCGTACAAGCTCCCCCTTGAGTTATCATCTGTGCAAATCTCGAATATGTCTCATTCCAATGTTATGAACGTGCTTTCGGAATGTTGTAGTTGGGAGCACCTTCGTAATTAAATCTTCTGCATTATCACTTGATCGGATGTATTGAATTTTGATTTGTTTGTTCCTTTCACGCTCTTGAGTGTATGAGAAGAACTTTGGTGGGATATGTTTAGTTCTGTCACTCTTAATTTATCCTTCTTTGGTTTAAACCAGGGTGCGGATAAAAAATGACCAAAATTGATGAAATCGACAAATTATAGGACCTAAATTGAAAGTGGTCAATATCGGAGTGGTTTTTTAGAGACAGTGGCCAAATTATAGGACCAATTTTAAAATTTTCCCCTGATAAAAAGTTTAGGAAAGGCATTATCACTAACTTTCATCTTTCATATGAAAAGGGGAGCTAATTGTTCACATAAACTTGTTAGGATTAACTAACTAATTAATGTGAACTCATCATGAAGTCTATATTAGTTCTAAAACTGACCTTGTGATTGGACTATCTCGAGTCAATACCCGAATTGAACTTTAAAATAATATAGTACACATGTAAATCAATTACATTCTTACACTTATTTGTTTGTCTAGAGTCATCCTTTAATTTTATACTACCCGACATATTAATTAACTCAATAGAAAAAAATACATCTTCAATGGTGATAACAAAGATAGAAATTAAAAAAATATAAGAAAACCAAAAAAAGTACATCTACAAAAGTTCTGCTTTTAGTAACAAAAGGTAAGTAAAAATTATTAACTATACATTTCTAGTAATTCATGTTCTTTATATTTATATGTTGAACATTGTTAATTTGATGATAACTATTTTGATGAAAGTGGATTTCCTTTAAGTATCCAAATTCTTATCACGTGACATGATGTGTATTTGTGGTAACATTTTTGAATAAAAGGAGATTGAATTAAAAAGCAGAATTTTGTAATTCTGTAACCATAATAGAAAACGAAAAAAAAAACAGCTTTATATAGTTCCAGGGTATGATATACATTGCATACATACAAACAAACAAGAAGTCAGCCATTTTGAAATGTGTGGTTGTACACTTGTCACTATACTATGAGTTTGTACAATGAAACCCTAGCTAGTAGCTAGCTGTAAAAGTGCTCCTAGTATTATCATTTATTGGTACTATTTACCATAGTACCTAAGCTTTTTTTTTTTTCTAAGAGTCACTCCAATGCTGCTTTAGAATAGCGCAAAAAGCTGAAGTAGCGTGAAAAAATATCTCCAAGGCAGCGCTATATTTTAGCGCTAGATCAGATAAATAAACAGTATTGCGCCAATTCTAGCGCAGTACTGTAGCAGAACGCCAGAATTTTTTATTTTTTTTTCTTTTTTTAATGTATTATTAATGATAAATTTTTGTATAATGTATATTAATAAATATGTTTTTATGTTAAATAACTTTGTGCAATGTATTTTTTATGCTAAATAATTTTGTACTTTTTATTTATTGATGTATTATATTTTTATTTTGTAATTTTTTAATATTAAAATAGTACCACATGAATAAAAGTTTAACACATTCGAACAAGTAAATTTGCACTAATTCATATATGGTCTAAACCATATATGGTCTAGTGTGTAAACTTGCACTAATTCATATATTTTCAAAAGTAATAGTTTTGATTCAATCGGTACATAGATGTATATGTATCTTCTTTAATAAATTCAATTTATTACAATCATTTTTTAAATGTGAAATAATAGTATTGAGGAAAATAATAATACTTTAAAGGATGTATATTAATTTTATTTTGTAATTTTGTAATATTAAAATACCACCAAAAATGAATATAAGATGAAATATACATATATTAGAATTTATTTGAAATAAAAATGAATAAAAAAGATAATAAATTTGAATCAACCGTAGGATTCTTATCTAAAGATCAATGGCTAAGATCATATATATACATAATAAAATTTGCATAAGATATGGTCTAAACTATATATGGTCTAGTGTGTAAATTTGCACTAATTCATATATGGTCTAAACCATATATGGTCTAGTGTGTAAATTTGCACTAATTCATATATTTTCAAAAGTAACAGTTTTGATTCAATCGGTACATAGATGTATATGTATCTTCTTTAAGAAATTCAATTTATTACTATTATTTTTTAAATGTGAAGATATGGTCTAAACCATATATGGTCTAGTGTGTAAATTTGCACTAATTCATATATGGTCTAAACCATATATGGTCTAGTGTGTAAATTTGCACTAATTCATATATGGTCTAAACCATATATGGTCTAGTGTGTAAACCATAATTTTTTTTTTTTTTTTCTATTTGGGTAATAAACATTTATATAATATTACATATTCATATATATAGCAAATTATTCGAAATAAAAATAAATAAAATATATTTTTATTATTTGAGTAATTAACATTTTATATAAAATTAAATATACATATATACCAATTTATTTGAAATAAAAAATGAATAAAAAAATAATATATTTAATGTAGAGTAAAATGTAGAGATAAGGGTTGGAGATGAATGTTCAACTCTACTCTAGAGTAGAGTAAAGTCCGCGCTAGAGTAGAGATAAGGGCTGGAGATGGCCTAAGCTTTAGTTATAACTTTTTACATTCTTTAAGCCTAAAAAATTGATGTTAAGTTTGGAGGTGCATTCATATATTCAAATATCATTTTATTTTATTATAGAATGTTTGCTACGAATTAGTGTTCGTTCGATTATTAAATAAGTTTAATTTTTTGTTCGAATTATGCTCTATTAACAAACAATAAGCAAGTTTAATTTTGTAGAATATGTATGAACTTGAACTTGTTTTATTAACGAATGTAGGGTTCGTTAACAATCCTACGCCATAACCAAAAGTCTTCATCATGTATTCAGTTGGTCAAGTTCTAGAAATTTGCATAATGCATGAAGGTGAAGATAAATGTGAAATTGTATTTTAATTATTATGGGAGCTTACAGATGCATGAAGGTGGAGATAAATGTGAAATTATATCAGTCATTAGGAAGCTTAAAGGGTATTTTTATATCCGTAAATACTAATACCAAGGCAATTTAAATCGGTTTTAAGAGTGAAGAACTATAGAAAAAAAATCATACAATAAAATTTGTAATCCATTAATTTTTCCTCTTCCATTGTTCTAACATGCTTGAGCATTATTTAAGCATAAAAAATTATTATTTTTTTATTTGGACAAGGAATTGGTCTTAAGGGTACAACAAGATTTATTTAAAAGAAAAATTATGAAACAAAAATTAACTGGAATATTTAATGATTTCTTATAGCATAAAATATGAAAATATAAGAGTGACACAATTAGTGTGCTGAGATAAAATATACATAGTAATCGTTAATTATAAATATGTGAGTTGAGGTACAAAAAATTTTGTAGAAAAATGCATTCTTTTATTAGTTTTTAATTTAAAAATTCTAGTAGAAATTTTGAATTAATAAAAAATGAATCAAAGTTTCCATAATAATCAATTAAACACACCATATCATGCATGACGACACCAAATAACCGTTAAATGTAACGTGAAAGCCGTTTCCCATCTGCCAACGCACAAGAAACTTCAAGATAAACCCTAGTTTGACCATAGTGCATACATTGGCATCTCATAAAAACCAATACTACTCGGGCACGTGTCCGTTATATAACTAGAGTTGTCCGTTAAACCTAAGACGGTCTTATTCACACAGATCGATCATTATCCACTTATCTTGCATTTCCGAATATGCCAAGCCAATGGAAGTTAACGTAGTCTTTTAATTAAGCTTTGACTTATTTGACTGATTAATTCCACCTACAAAATAAGCAAATTATGCCTGTGTATACGCATTATGTTTAGCTAATCTTCTTTTGAAGCATACAAAAGTTCTCAACAATGTACAGGATTTGCTTAAATTGATTTTATTATCATTATTATTATTATTATTATTATTATTATTATTNCTTACAGGACGAAATCTCCAATTTTTCCGCAAAATGAAACTTGCAAAACAACTCACATAAGTTTTTTAGAGGAAAAATTATAAACTATATAGTTCTAGTAATTTATATTCTTTATATTTATATGTTGATCATTGTTAATTTGATGATAACTATTTTAATGAAAGTGGATTTCCTAGAAGTATCCAGATTTTTATCACGTGACATGGTGTGTATTTGTGGTAACATTTCCAACCTACCAACGAATTGAATAAAGGAGGTTTTGTGAAAGGGGCAGAACTTTGTAATTCTGTAACCATAATAGAAAAGAAAAAAACAGCTTTACGTAGTTTCAGCATTGTATGCTATACATTGTACACAAACAAACAAACAAGAAGCCAGCCATTTTGAAATGCGTGGTTTAAAAGGAAATGTCAATTTCCATGGTTAATCAAGGAAAACAAAAGCTGCAAGATGAACTAACTTTGCATTCAATGCATTAACGTTTTTAGGGTTACAAAAACTTGATACTCGACTGCTACAGAAAAGAGTGCAATAAATAGACTATGCCTAAAATGATCTCAGCCTTAGATTCAAATTATAAACACTAGATCAATGCCACCTAGCCTTAGTGGATATATAATAATCCTCAACAAACTTGTACTATCCTGCTGATATGCCATTTTGTCTTTGCATGGAGGAATCTGTAGCTTGTTTCTTGTGCATGTCATCACCCATATAATCTGCACCAGTGGAGGAAGTAATCTGACGTGGCATGGAGGAGGATACACCATTGACCGTGTTGACTGAGCTAGTTCTAATATGATTGGACACTTGTCACTACTGGTATATTATCATTTATCAGTACTACCTAAGCTTTAACTATAACTTTTTAACGTTTTTTAAGCCTAAAAACTTGATGTTAAGTTTGGGGGTGCATATTCATATATCATATTATTTTATTATTATTTGATTGCGGTCAGATTCATATTTACCTTGTACTAGCATTTAGAGCTGGATGTGACAATTGCAGTATAATGGATTCAGTTTTATCGAATGTTCGCAATAAGTTCGTGTTCGTTCGATTATTAAATAAGTTTAATTTTTTGTTTGAATTTTTCTAGATTAACAAATGTATGAGTTTTTGTCGAATACAAATGAACTTGAACTTGTTTTATATTCATGAACATATGGTTCGTTAACAATCCTCGCCCATACCCAAAAGTCTTCATTTATTCAATTGGTTAAGTTCAAGAAATTTATTACATAATGCATTAAAGTGAAGATAAATGTGCAATCGTATCTTAGTTATTAGGAGAGCTTAATTGAAGGAAAAAAAATCATACAATAAAATTTATAATTTCCTCCACTTTTTTTCCTCTTCCATTGCTCGCTAACATGCTTGAGAATTACTTAAGCATTAATAATTATTATTTTTTATTTGGACAAGGAATTTGTATTAAGGGCACAACTGGAATTATATAAAATAATATTATGAAAAGAAAAATGAACTAGAAGATTTAATGATTTCTTATAGCATGAAATATGAAAAATATAGAGTAATAATTAATCTTGATGTGATAAAATATAAATAATTATCGTTAATTATAAATATGTCAGTGGAGATATAACAAATTTTATAAAAACAATTGCAGTGTCATTACTTTTTAATTTTAAAATTTTACTAGAAATTTTTAATTAAGAAAAATTGAATCAAACTTTCCCTCATATCAAATTTAACACCGACGTAATATAACCGTTAAATGTAACGTGAAAGCTGTTCCCATCTGCCAATACACAAGAGGCGCCAAGGAATTAAACCCTAGTTTAACCATAGTACATATATTGGCATCTCATAAAAACCAATACTACTTGAACACGTGTCCGTTGTATAACTAGAGTTGTCCGTTATACCTGAGACAGCCTTATTCACACAGATCATCAGTATCCATTTATCTTGCAATTGTAGTTATTAACTTATTAATCTGTTAATTAAGCTTTGACTTATTTGACTGTTTAATTTCACCTAGAAAATAAGCAAATTATGCCTGTGTATATGCATTATATTTAGCCAACTTCTTTTGAAGCCTACAAAAATTCTCAACAATGTGCATGGATTTGGTTAAATGTGTAATTATTATCATTATTATTGTAATTATTAATATGTTAATGCTTTGCAGTGAAATATTTCTCGTGCATCACTGTTAATGGATAACAGCCGAGAAAAAAAGGCCAACTGCAAATTAATGAAACTTGCAAAACAACTCACATAACAGACCATTCAATTCTCAGCAGTCACAATCCCCACAAAATACAAATCACAAATCAAGCAACAGCAGCAGCATAAACAGAGGCATAATATCCAAAGTTCCATCACCATAATCAAAAGGAAAATAACTGAATACCAAACATCATTATTCAACTAAAAATAAAACTGCTGCTTAAAAAACCTACTCGATAGTCACCTCAATGACGTCCCCATCCTCGCTCTTCTTCTTGGGAATCTCCAGCTCGAGCACCCCGTCTTCCCCCATCACAGCCCTGATCTCCTCCACCTTGCACTTGTGTATAGGCAGCTCAACGATGTACCTCCCCACAACCCGATCGCCGCCTGCCTCCTTGGCGTCCACCAGGAGCACCGAACCCTCCACCCTCACCTCCACGTCCTCCTTCGCCGTCCCATGCATCGGCATCCTCATGTGAACGCTCTCGGGCGTGTTCTTCGTCTTGGCGATTCCCTCATCCCCGCAGTTGTAGCCCTCGTCGATTTTGTCCTCGGGTGTGTCCCAATTCTCTGCACATCCACGGATCCAGATTTCAATTCAAGGAATTGCACAGAAAAACACAAGATCTATACGAAATTTCAGCTTAAAAAAACAGATCTGAGGAGCTTCATCGTGAAGATTAATTAAAACAACAGGAAACGCGAAACAAGGGAGAAATAGGAGACGCGCGCGCAGGCATGGATCTGAAGGGAGTAAGTAAGTAAATACCAGAAACCGACGCCGGCGGCGGGCATAAGCCTGAGCGGGAGAGGAGAGCGAACTCCAGGAGTTCGGCAAGGGCTGAGGCGTCCATTGCTGGTTCCCGTGAAGATGAGGATGATGATGTTGATGGTGCGTTTCCTCTCTCTTTTTTTCCTTTCCCTTTCACTCTTCTGTTCAGTTTGGTCGGCATGATTGAATTGAAGAAGACGATGGTGGGTTGCTGCTTGCTGCCTTTTTTTATAGTGAGGATGAGGTCAGGGGTAAAATGGGAAATCAGTCAAATCATGGACGCAAAGGAATTCGAGAATTTTCTCATGGAAAGGCTGACTATTGGGCCGGTTTAGGGGTTATTTGCTGGATTTTGTTTATGGTTTATAGAAGCGGAGTTCTCCGACCCAAATCGAAGTTGATATTCGGTTATTGAATGATCGATCTTGGGTAAAGAACACAAAAATTAGAGGGAAAAAATAACATATAAGTAATTTGAAGTATTAAAAAATTTATTTATTAAAAAGAATATTTTATTGTATCTTTCGTTCTGTTGAAGAAAATTCATTATATTAGCACTATATTATTTATTCACTAATCTTTCACCTTTGATATATATAAATAGTGCAGTAATTGGATGCTAGAAAAAAATTCTAATGATATAAATTTAGGGGCAGAGCTAGGATTTGAAAATTCCTGGGACTAATGAAATTGTTGTCTCTGATTCTTTTTGGATTCAAACTCGGCGATTATAGTATTATTACTAATCTTTTCAACCAACTCCCTTTCAATGTAAACAACCATTGAATCCGCCAAAAATTCCTCTTCCATCTTATTGCATAGAACCGTCTTAACAAGTTTCATAGCGGAAAACCTCGCTCTGTAGTTGGCGTAGACACGGGGAGAGTAAACAAGACGAATTAACCTGTCAAATAAATTATATTAACTAGATCAAATAAAAATACTAGAATTTAATTAACAAAAATTACTTAAGACAATTTCAGTTGTACATGTCAATCAAATTGTAGATTTTTAACTTATTAGTCTCGACTAATATACGACATAATTCAAAAGTAGTCGATAAGTCTTGAAATCTCTCATTAGTAATGAATCAAGCTCATACGTCTTAGGGGCTAGTTGAGCTTGTAATTAATTCACTCTCAATACTAAGAAATTTCAAGAAGGCAAAATAACACAAACACTAAATTGACAGGGGCCCGCACAAGCGGAGGAGCATGTGGTTTAATTCGATGCAGAGCAAAGAACCTTACCAGGACATGACATGCCCGCGAATCCTCTTGAAAGGGAGGAATGCCTTCGAGAGTGTGGGATACAGGTGGTGCATGACTGTCGTCAGCTCGTGTCGTAAGGTGTTGGGTTAAGTCCCGCAACGAGCAGAACCCTCGTGTTTAGTTGCCATTGTTGAATTTGGAACCCTGAACAGACTGTCGGTGAAAAGATGAAGGAAGGTGAGGATGACGTCAAGTCATCATGCCCCTTCTGACCCTGGGCGACACGCGTGCTACAATGGACGGAACAAAGGGTCGCGGGATTGCTCAAGCTATGTACCAAATCTATATCAAATGGAGTCTACACTCTAACTTATCTCTTTGAATTACTAGTGGTGACTGGTGTGCATAAATTCAAACTATTATATTTCTAGTTTTTTCTTTACAAACCAAATCATCTACATTACAACAAAAATATTAATGATGTAGATAATAAAATTATTTGTTTCAGTATACATGTAATTGAATTACCATTGTAAAAAAATAAAAATAAAATAAAAAACATATGCGTTAAACCCAAAGTTTGGAGCCTTCAGCCTTGGAAGTTGCTGCAGCCCTTGGGAGGGAAGGTGGAGCAGCGGGAAAGTGACGGCGGCGGAGATGGGCGGAGGTGGAAGGTACCCGACGACAATTAAAGCTTCGAGTGGTCGAGAGCTTGAAGGCTGAGCTGCTTGCGTTGGGGTTTGGAGGTGATAATTTGATGAAGATGGACTATGTATAAATTAGATCATTTTGTAATTTGTGGGGCCTATTGAAATAAATGGGTTTGACATTAAATGAGTTTGTTTCTCAATTTTTGGGCTGTTTGTGGGCTTAATAGAAACATGAATGGGGCTAGTATAAAATTTTGGTAGGGCTAAGTACAAAATATTTTATAAGGTAAAGTTAATAATTTTTTATTTTTTCTTGAGCCCACCCTAGCCTATGGATGGCTCCGTCCCTAGATATAATTAACTAATTAGCGTCAGCTAATGAAATGGGAAAATATAATTAAGAGTATGTTTGATAAGCATAATAAGCTAGCTTAAATTTTCTTTAGTTGTGTGCTTTTATTTTAGATTTGGTGGTGTGCTTTTCTAGGATTTGGACATGTGTTTTTTACTATTAGGGTTTCACTGTACGTTTTTCTAAGGGCTATGTTACTAAACACCTTCCTCATTGTTTCTTCGTAGTTTTTCTTTCGCTTAACCAGAATAAGCTCTATGTATATCTTCACTATTATTTGTCAATTTATGTTATGCATTTTTTGTTGTGAGAAAAATATTGAATGTTTTATATTGCTAATTTTAGGTTGTTGGTTCTTGAAGCTACTCCAAGTTCTTGCCTTTTTTCCTTCCATTTATTTTTTAGATTGTTTAGGCCTGGCCCAACTAATCGGTGACTGTTTTACGTGCACTTGGCTGCTTCAGCTGCGCTCTGAGTTGCTCGCGAATGTAATGTCATTACTTTTTAAGAAATAAAATATAAATAACAATCATTAACTGAGTGGAGGTATAACAAAGTTTATAGAAACCGCAATCTCATTACTTTTTAATTCAAAATTTGTATTAGAAAAATTTAAAATTAAGAAAAAACAAATCAAACAGTAGTTTCACTAACGACATCACATAACCGTTAGATGTAACGGGAAAGCCGTCTCCCATCTGCCAACACACAACAGACGTGTCAGCCGTCAAGGATAAACCCCACTTTAACCATAGTAGTAATAGTAGGTATAGTGGCATCTCATAAAAACCAATACTACTTGAACACGTGTCCGTTATCTCTTTAACCAGAGTTGTCCGTTATACCTGAGAGACCCCTTATTCACACGTATAATCATTTTTGAATATGCCAAGCCAATGGAAGTTAACGTAGTCTTTTAATTAAGCTTTGACTATTTGACTGATTAATTCCACCAAGAAAATAAGCAATTTATGCCTGCGTACACGCATTATATTTAGCTAATCTTCTTTTGAAGCCTACAAAAGTTGTTCTCAACAATGTGCATGGATTTGGTTAGAGTGTTATTAATATTATCATTATTGCAATTAATGTTGATTTATTATAGTTTTGCAATGAAATCTTGATAACTGCCAAGAAAAAGGCCACTGCAAAATGCAACTTGCAAAAACAAATCACAAACAGACTATCATCAATATTCCCTCTCACAAAATCCCCACAAATTAACGTATCCAAATCAAACACCACCACCAGCAGCATCAAAAGAGAAATAACATCCAAAAATCCATCTTCATATTCTACTAAGAAAGTAAAACTGCTGCTTAAAATTCTACTTAATCGTCACCTCAATCACAGCCCCAGCTTCCTTCTTCTTCTTGTTCTTTGGAACCACCAGCTCAAGAACACCATCGTCCCCCATCACAGCCCTAATCTCCTCGCGCTTGCACATGTGCATAGGCAGCTGAACGAAGTACCTCCCCACAGGGTGCTCGAATCCCGGCTCCTTGGCGTCCACCCGCAGCACCGAGCCATCCACCCTCACCACCACGTCTTCCTTCACCTTCCCATGCATCGGCATCCGCAAGTGAAAGCTCTTGGCGGTGTTTTTCGTTTTGACGGTGGTCCGTTCCACGCAGTTGAAGGGGGCGAATCCCGGGTCGATATTGTCCCCGGTGGTGTCCCAATTCTCTGCACATCCACAGATCCAGATTTCAGTTCAAGGAATCGCACAGAAAAAACACAAGATCTATACGAAATTTCAGCTTAAAAAAAAAAACAAAAAAGAGATCTGAAGAGCTTGAGCGTGAAGACTAAACCAACAGAAAACGCGAAACGAGAGAAATAGGAGCGCGCAGGCATGGATCTGAAGGGAGTAAGTAAGTAAAAACCAGAAACTGAGATGTGGCGCAGCAGGCAATCCGATCCGTTCAGCTTAAGGGCGCGGGTCCTGACGAGGGTCTCTGACGACGGCTGCTGACGAGGGTCTCTGAGAAGAGCGGACTCCAGGAGGTAGGCAAGGGTTGAGGCGTCCATAGCTCTTTTGTTCTGGTTTTTGTTCGGCACTTTTCGAAGACGATGGTGGGTTCAGTGATAGACATTTTCAGCGCTGCCTTCTGCCATTTTTATAATGAGGATGAAGTTAGGGGTAAACTAGTAAATGATGGACGCAAAGGAGTTCGAGAATCTTCCCAAGGAAAATCTAACGATTGGGCCGGTTTATGGGCTTCTGTATTTATTTGTAGGATTAGGATTAAGGACACCAAGATTCTCATCTCAAAAATTTTTTTCCATAATATGATCATTTTGTAACAATTCCATTTTTGTATTCACACAACTTTTCTATGTTAAATCAACTTTTTTTTTCTATGAACGTTTCAGATTATTTTTAATTTATGTTATGTTAAATCAACTTTTTTTTTTCTATAAACTCTTCAGATTATTTTTAGTTTATTTTTAGTTTATGTTATGTTAAATCAACTTTTTTTTTTCTATGAACTTTTCAGATTATTTTTAGTTTATTTTTGGTTTATGTTAGGCTTATTACATTATCCCTATAGTTTATCTTAAGTTTATTATCATATTTTTACTAAATTAAAAAAACAAATAGACAATAAATTCATATACCAAATAAAACTAAAAATAAACTACAAATAAAACAAAAAAATACATAGTGGATTGATAAATATCAATTAAATATCAATTATTCTCAAAATCGTTCAAAATACATGTATATCTCACATACTTATAAACAAACTCAATATTCAGTACGCCCAACGAGCATCGCGATCCCGGCAGATCTTCGAACACCATCCCAACCCGCGAAGAATTTGGTTATCTGCTTGGTTTGTATGTCGGTTTTTGAGCCGTTGAAATTCCGTCACCAATTTTCCAACTCATTGGCATCGAGATCTGACGAGAATTGAGTAAAAAAAAAAAAATCAAAGTCTTTGTTTCAAAAATCAAAAGAAAATTAATCAAAATTTCAAACAAAATCCAACAAATCACAGATCTGAAATTCAAATGTGAATCAATGAGATTCCCAAACAAATCAAAATTAATGAAACCCTAAATCAGTAATTGGAGAATTTACTACACCTTATCAACTACACGTCTTGCGCCTCGACGAGTTATATTCCGAGCCTCAAGGCAGCTGGCGGCGGGCGGTGGGAGGAAGGGGTCGAAGAGGGAAAGGACCTCGCATAACGGGTGACGTTGATGAAGGTTCTGGTGGAGCTGAGGATGGAGAACCCCCGCTGGCTGTGCGTGGCGAAGCGAAGGAGGGAGATGACGCACTGTGATGATGATGGCGGCGTTGATTCTTCCACCCTACCAAGAAAAAATGGGGAGGAGTGCTATTAATCTAAATTGAAGTCAAGTGGAACCAAATGAATGTTATTCTCGTTCCAAAGGTAAATAAAAATAAAGTTTGGTATTAATTTTTTTTAATCGTAAATAGGGAGTAAAACTTCTATGGTACCGTCCAGTAGATAATTTTCTCTTAGGATTATGGTTTATAGAAAACGGGTTGATTCTGTTCTCCGGCCCAAAACGCGACACACTAAACGCCAATTATTTCACTTGCGCCATTTTCTATATTCACAACGAACCAGCACATAATTCGAAATATTTATTATTTTCTTCCCTTTTTATTATCCACACAGACCCAATACACTATTCGCATTCTTTAATTTTTTTAATAACTGGCTTATTTATTAAAGAGAATCTCATTGGGCAATTCAATCGCACCCTATTGTTTATGCTCAACTTTTATATATTGTATACTATATAAGATGTGTTTATTATCCTACTAGTGTTGCATTTACATATGTGGATATTAAATTGAACAAGATTGTCAGAAAAGGTGCAATTATTTTTCAAACCAAACAATTTCATTCATCGTCCACCCATATAATTATTCCTTATATATATATGAAACCACTTTGAGATGAAGACCATATTGGATTTCATTTCTTTTGACAGTCTCAAGTGATTCATCTTTGTAACCAGTGATGTCCTCATCAATTGAGGGCAAGAAAAGATCCAATTCATAATTATGCATGTGGTTCAGCTTGGAAAGCCCAAAGCAAGCACAGTGGGATCTTTTCCTCCAGAAGCTCCGATGGCGATGTGGGATGAAAAAAAATCCCAAGTTCCCGGCGGGACAAAAAGCATCGGCCAACATAGTAAAGGAGGCCCTAATATAATACTAATTTGTGGTAACTTGGGATATTTTTATGTCTATAAATTATGTCTAGAAGCCAAAATGATTTATATGAACCAAAATCGACTTCTCTCCAGAAATAGAATTCTTTAATATGTATACCCATAAATGGTTTCCACGAAGTAAGAAAATAATTTCTTAAATTAAAAGTTATATTGTAGAAAAACAATTGGCATGATTAAATAGTAATTACAATATTGAAAGATAAACAAATTTTTGGATCTACAAAATATTATTTTTCCTAAAACATAATGGAAACAAAAATTCTAGATAATAAGAGCATATACCTTCCTTAAACGGTTTTACTATAGAACCATCAGATGACTCGACATATACCTTGGTTGTGTATTTTTCCAAGCATGCCATTTTTTGGAAACAAAGTGGTAAGTGGGTTACAAACTTTAATGCCATTTTTTGTAATGTATTTTCCCCTTAAAGCGCGCGTGCAATGTTTGGGAGGGAAGAAATGGTATATGTGATTAATTTGATGTAATGTAATGGCTTTGAAAGTTCCATGCAATATCATACAAGTACACCAAAGATGAAGCCCACCCATGAAGAAATCAATGGCACACCATTGAAGAAGTAGCCTCCACCAACCTTCTTCATTCACACACATTTGTCAATGGTGGTGTGTTAAATCTTTCCAATAAATAGGCTTCTTATTTCATTTACTCAAATCATCCAAGAGTGTGATCAATCAACCTTGAGAGTGTTGAAACACAACCAAGAAGAGTTGTGGGAGAGTTTGAGAGTTTTTTTGTTTAGAGTTTGTAAATCTCTTGTTTTTATTCTTGTGAGTAATAGAAACTTATTTTTCTCTCAATTATATTTATGATCTTGGGATGATACCACAACAAGTGGTATCAGAGCTTAGTTTAAAGCTTTCGAGCTTAGTGTTTAATTTTTCCGAGCTTCTGTATAAATTTTGAGTTTCTGAGTTGTGCTCGAAATTCGATTCTAAAGACACCGTTAGATTCGTCTCGTCGAGACGGTCACGGCGGTATCTTACGGGCGAAAAACGGACACCGGAGCTGAGAGTTATAGCCTTTTGAAGTTTTGAGAAAAAAAAAAAAAAAAAAAAAANAAAAAAAAAAAAAAAAAAAAAAAATCTTAAGGAAGAAGATGATGACGAAAATTGTTAAAGAAAGCACCTGTTTTTAGAGAAGTTCAGGACTATCACTAGAAACATATGATGCATGGGCCATGTGGAGAAAAAAAATAGTAAGATTCTTGCATGCTGAATGGGTAATGCAAAATCATTATCCATGTGCACTTTGTAAAAATACCGAACAATGTAAAGCTAGAATTTCAGTTTATAGAAAACTACTACAATGAAGTTCATTAATAAATAAATTAACAAAAAAATGATATAATAGCAGTTGATATCACATAGTGATGAGAACATGGTCGATGAAAATAGTTCAAGAGCTTCACGATGCACGAATGGTATAAACTCAAGAGGCAGCAGGAATAATTTTTTAATTTAGCGTGAATGTAAAACATCTTATGTTAAGCTCTCCCGTAACGCTGACATTTCGCCTGGACTTTTCCCGGACCAAGAGCTGTTATCTTTGTCATTCTGACTGATGTTGTCAGCTTTTCCTTGTTTACTTTCTTTTTCTGGTTTCTTTTTCGTTTGACTTGCTGTATATCAGACTTTGATCTTGTAGATTTGTGATTTTTCAGCCAATTTAAGGCTTTTTTATATAATAGGTTGGGGGTCCGGCCTAACCCTCCACCCTCCTGGGTGTGCATT